TGTATTATTATATATAATTAATATATAATACAAACAAAAAGTGGCACCTTACATGTATGATTATATTCCAAATTGTATTATTGTAGCTTATCTATGATTGTAATTGGTAGCCCTAGGAGCATAGAGCATAGAGATACTAAATGCCAGCTTGGGAGCGACTACTTATCTATGGTGACTACCGTTTCTATTACCCACGTATCTATAGTGCAGATCAACATAACCACATGATAACCATAGTATAAGGATAATTCCCCTAACTACCGTAATTTAACATAACCTTACTAATTAAAAGGAGTTGAAAGTATATTAAAATGGATTTATTTGTTATAAATAGGTAATTTGATAAGAAACGGTTTTAAATGTCGACAGAGTGCTTTAGTAAATATTTTGTAGACACCAAGAAACTGAATTTGAAGAAAATGAAGTCCTTAACAAAAATGAAAAAATGCAACAGGTTCTAAAAAAAATTGAAAGAAATAAGAAAATCAGAGCAAAGCAAAAAGAAAGTAAGAAACTTAATACCGAAGAAAAATTAAGAGCAATTCAAAAGACTACGGAAAATAGGAAAAGGAGAAGATGTCAAAGACAAATACATGAGGCTGTTGTAAATTCTCAAAAGGAATTGTGTGAACCGAAAGAAGTAATAGAACGAGTAGATGACATTGAACAAGGAAAAGTTTCATTGGAAGAACCTAAAAATAAGAAAGAAAAAGGCAGTAATGATGTATCTGAAATAGCTGGTTTTACTATTTTAGGTGATACAGAATTTCAGAAAAAGAGTAAGGTACTGTGTTTGAAGATTATTTGTTAGGGTCAAAAGTGCTTTTTTATGTTTTGTAGATTAAGCGAGTTTTACCAAAATGGCTTGCTGAGCCAACAGTAATCTCTACCAATCTTCAAAATCTTCAGATAAAAACATCAAGTATGAGTGAACTTAATAAGAAGTTAAGGAGAAAGTTGAAGACAAAAGGCATTCATTTCTTTTTTCCTGTTCAAGCTGTAGTAATACCATGGCTATTAAAAGAAATAAGAAATTCTTCAATAATATTCCCTAGAGATATTTGTGTGTCAGCACCAACAGGCAGTGGAAAAACTTTGGCATTTGTCTTACCAATTATTCACCACTTAATGACTTATAAAGTTAAAAAAATTAGAGCTCTAGTTATCTTACCAACACAAGATTTAGCTCTACAAGTATATGAAACTTTTAAATTGTATTCTGTGTGCACAAATATATACATTGGTCTTATAACAGGAAAAAAAAAATTCACTGTTGAACAAAAACAGTTAATTGAAGAAAGTAAGTTATATATTTCTAAGAAAATTATTAATTGTATTTACTAAAATATTTTTCCTAATAGTTGAACCATTTGGATATAAAACTAAGGTAGATATTTTAGTTTGCACTGCTGGAAGATTGGTAGACCATTTGAAAGACACTAAAGGGTTAGATCTGAAGTGCATAGAATTTTTGGTTATTGATGAAGCTGACAGAGTTTTAGACAGTGTTCAGAATGATTGGTTATACCATTTAGAGAAACACTTGCAAAGTGATGGTAAGTAAATATGCACTTTTGTCACTATGTTTGTTAAATTGGTTTTATTTGAGAATTCAGGTTTACATTATGCTTTCTGTCCATTTTTCTTTTTAAGATGATGGTTGTCATTCAGCAAAAGTTTTAAATTTGTTGACATTAAGGGGCAAACGACCCCCTCAGAAACTGCTCTTTTCTGCAACATTATCACAAGATCCAGAAAAATTGCAAAAATTGTCCTTGTTTCAACCTAAACTTTTCACGTCTGTTGTTGAAAAATCTGAAGCAGAAGAAAAACCTGATGAGGGCCACTCAACTTCAACATTCTTGGGAAAATACACCACCCCAAATGAACTGACTGAAAAATATATTGTTTGTTCACTTGATTTGAAGCCCTTGGTTTTATATCAATTCATTGTACAGGAAAATCTGACAAAAGCATTGGTTTTCACAAATTCAGCTGAAAGTGCACATCGACTAGTGATACTTTTAAATTCAATGTTTAAGGGACAGAAGAAAGTAGAAGAAATGCCCTTAAAAATTGATATAAATAAGAAGAATGAATTAACTAAGTCGTTTATAAATGGTGTTTTTGATATGTAAGTATGAAATATCAGTAGATATTTTGGTGCAAACGGTTTTAAGCGATTAAAAAATTGATTATTGTAAAAAAACAATTATTTCATTTGTGATTTCAGTTTGGTATGCACTGACAGATTGGCGCGAGGAATTGATCTTCCTGGCACAGAGTGTGTTATATCATACGGAGCTCCCAAATTCATTAAAACATATATACATAGGGTGGGTCGTACAGCAAGAGCTGGTCGGTCTGGTTTAGCAGTGACATTGTTACAAGAAAATCAGCTATCAAAATTTAAAGCTGCTCTTTCACAAGCGGAAAAGAATAATTTGGAGGAAGTAAGTTCGAGTTTTTTGTACTATATGATATTCTTCTTAACTGATATTATTTTAGGTGGTCATTAATGAAGAAAAACTGGAAGAACTAGCAGATCAGTACAAACAAGCACTTGGAGAGTTAAAGGACTCTGTCTTAGAGGAAGAAACAGCCGAATTGAAGAAGATGAAACGAAAAAAGAGACCAAAGAAAATGCAGTTGCAGACATCTGCAAAAAGTAAGTAATTTATTGGATTGTCTGTTAACATTTAGGCGTTTTTTTTACGATGTATACGTTTTAAAAGGTTCATTAAAATTGTGATTTTCAGTAATCTAAAGGGTTCAATAATTTAATTTTTTNTGGCGCGAGGAATTGATCTTCCTGGCACAGAGTGTGTTATATCATACGGAGCTCCCAAATTCATTAAAACATATATACATAGGGTAATCTGAAATAGTGCATGAGGTAAATTTTAATATGCTCGTGTAACAGTTTTTAATAATCTGTGCTGCTTTTTAGAATGAATAATAGGAACGCTATGTATTTGAAATGTGAAAATTCTCCCGCGTTCGATAATAACATGGTTGTAGCGCCATCTTTAGTGTTTTTACTGAAACACTGTGTTTATATAATGACGTTTTATATCAATAGCACAATAGCCTTATCTTGTCGAACGTGTTTTAAGATGTTGCGCAGTTTTTAAGAAAATATAACAAATAACTAGTTTTTATTATAGACAGTGAAATATCTAACAGTTAATTAAGAGGTTGCAGGCTAATTTATACGTGGCAGTGACTATTAAGTTTATTGTGGAGTGATTTTAATTTAAATGATAACGATTGAGGTTATAAAACGGTGACGCCCATACATACTTTTATGAAGAATTTCCATTTTGGATTGCTTTTTTCAGAAAATACTGATGCTAATGAAGAAATTGTGTAATATCTTGCCTTTATCTGATACTGATAGTTTACTATGTGCATTTAAAATGAACGCTGTGAGTTTTGTAGAAAAAGAAAAACCTAGGACATCATTATATCGAAGGTTTTTATTTTATAAAGCTGTTCAAGAGGAAAACGAAACAGTCGCTGATTTTATTGTTAAACTAGAAAATTTGTTAAAAAAGTGCAATTTTAGAAACTCCATGGAAGCTATAAGGGATAGGTTTATTTGTGGCCTGAAGTCTGAAAAGATACAGTCATTTTTGTTAGAACATGAAGATATAACTTTTTTCCAAGCTAAACAAATTGCTATTAAAATGGAGTCTGAAATCACTAAAAAATTAGGGCAGAAAGAGTTGGAAAAATACCAACCTGAATTAGTGAAGAAGGGAATAACTTTGAAGATAAGTAGAATAGATTTGGTGAAGGAAAAAACAGAACCAGAAAAAGTAAGGACATTATTAGATAACATTAAAACACACTTAAAAAAAGATAAAGTCGATATAAGAAAGAATAAAGTGGTATCAGAAGCAGAAAAGGCACCAGAGTTAGATAAAGAGTGTGAATTTTGTAAAACAAAAGTTTCTGTTTTTCCAACTACAGAGAAATTAGAATGCTTTGCTTGTCATATTAGAAAGAATCAATTGCCATCAAAAGTTATTGTAAAGAATAAAGTAGGATTATTAAGAGAATCAAAAACGACATTGCCCCCAGTTCTTGTTTTAAACAATTTTAGTGAAAATGAAAATAGTTCAGATACGACAGCAACAAATGGTTCAGCAGCTGTTTCATCAAATATTGAAGAGAGAAATACCTTAAATAATACACAGGTTTATACAGGTGCGAGTGTAAGTTTAATTATTGCATCTATCTGACAAAAACCTAATATTAATACTAATAGTAATATTAACTGCAACACTATTAATTATATCTTAGACAAACTGATAAGATATTGCAAGTGAGAAAGCAAAATATTTTTTTGATATTGTTATCTGATAAGGTTGTCAATGAACAAAGTTACCATTGTTATCTTTAAATGCAGACTTCATGCATTATTTCTTTCATCCAATCATATCCAACTAGGAGGCATAGCCTGTCTGTTGGTCTGACACATAAATATAAATCCTAACAACTAAATTACATTTTCTGAAAATACCTACCTAATTAATGTATAAAATAAATTATTTGGTTTCAGGTAATAATCAGTACATCCCGATATCAGAAGTTGATATTTATTCAAAATCTTCGTCGAGCCCATGGCACAGTTCCATCTCCCCCCACAGTCAAGATAGCAATTCAAGGCCGACTCCTCCTGTCACGCCTAAGAATAACGGCATGAATGTGGTGATGACAACGGAGACAACCGGACGGAGGAACATGGGAGGCAGGAAGCCTGCAAAAACGCTCGACCTTTCGCCCGAAGAAGAGGAACGGCGAAGGATAAGACGAGAACGGAACAAAATGGCAGCTGCCAGGTGTAGAAAGAGGAGAGTCGATCATACCAACACATTAATAGCTGTAAGTTCTTTTTTTAATATGACAGGCTGCATTTTAGTAGTAAGAAACTGTGGAGAATAAAACAAAAATAAACGAAAGTTTTGTACTTTGTACATGTAGTATGGATTCTTGAGTGAAATTAATTGTAATGGGTATCAGGAGCTAGAAAGTTCCATTTATTTGGATGAAATAATTGAGAATAAAAATGTATTAAAGAGCGACATTTTTTGTGTTCTATGAAGTGCTTTGTGCTGATTTTACACTTATTAATTTCAGGAAACTGAATCACTAGAACAAATGAAGCAGAGCCTCGAAAATGAAATCCAAGAACTTAAAGCCGAAAAGTATGATCTGGAGTTATGCTTGCAGTCCCATTGCAGTTCCCAGTTTTGCCGTCGCAATCGTCCGCCGAGTCCACCAGACGTAAAACCTTACGATATACCTCCACCTGTCTCATCAGAAGAACGCGTCAAAACCGAACTCATCGAAACCGTACCGCCGCCTCCACATACAACAGCAACATCAATTTTCAATAATAACAACGACAACATAGCGGACTACTTTACTGCTCCGAATCCTGCCAAAAGGATTATGCTCAGTTCGACGGTGCCTATAGCAAAGCCAAACCGACCAAGTTCTTTGAATGTGACCACGCTTCCTTTGTTGAACACGAAAATCAACAACATTTCGGAGCTGGCCGGTGTCACCATTAGCACACCAACAACGGGAATTCAGCTCAATTTCGATTCAATGATGTCGGGTGGTTCGGGATTGACGCCCGTTTCCTTGCCCACACCATTAGTACAGTGCAGCACGCAACAGAGGAATAACGGCGGCTCTGTAGGCGTTGTTACGGATTCCATTGGCTCCTCTGATGGATGTACAGGAGGTGGTGCACCACCAAAACTCGTCAGCTTATAATGAAACGCCAATGGAAGGAACGAAATGAGAAGGAGAAGCATATGCATTCTCTAAGTGATAATAATTGATAGTAATTGTAACTTTTCATTCGTTGATCGATCGAATTGCAGACGTGTCTGCCTTTTTGTGGCAAGAACAGTGTTGATTGGTCACATGAGGCAAGTCATTTTAATCGTCGGTGTAGCCAGGTAAGCTCTTCATATAATTACTATTTTAGTCGGAGAAATTTGCTGATAAGTGGAAAATAAGTCACTTGTTTAGTGCTACAACTTTTATTAAAATTTATTGTATGTGATAAGAACAAATTAAGTTTTCTATACCATCAGTAATGGTAATTAATGAATCTTCAAACAGCTTCAACAAAACAAAACCATACATATTGTAACTTATTTTGTTATTTTTGCTTAAAAAGTTTAAGTGTGGTTTATTAACAGTTGTGCTTTTTAAGTAATTCCTGTAATTCTTGAATTACTTTAATGGAGCAGTTTCGGTTATTAGAAAGAGGGCTGAATGTGAGACGTTACACTACAATGCAATAAATAACGTTCAAATAATTTGTTCTTTAATTTTACCTTACCGAATCATACAATTGATAATCGCTATGATCAAGAACGTTGAAAGAATTTTTACTCAAGTATAATATATATGTAACTAAAGGGTGCTATAAAAAATATAAAATTAGCTAATGCTAAGGAAATAATGATTAAAATTACTTGCCTTGAGTGTAGACAAATGAGCACTACGTAATCCTTATCGTAATATTATTATTATTATTACTGTAGTAATAATAATGATGATTAGTAATCGTTTACTATTAAATTACTAAACTAGTTTTATTTCGTTTCAGTTATTAGCGGTCATGTTATCTATTTATTTGTGTTATATTCGCAAACAATACTTTTTTTCTCGGTATTTAGTCTTTTTTGTTAAAGTTTGTTATTCTACCATTACTACTACTATGTTATTACTTCACTTACTTTTCTTTCTACTTTAAACTCAAGCATATTGGATTCGAGATGCCATTTTTTTTTTAGTCGTATGCGCCAAGGTATTAAAACGTTAGCCGGTAAGAATTTGCTACCATTTTTTTTATTTTCATTGATAGTTACCAGTTCATGAGCTGCAGGTCTACCATCTTTAGCTGACAGTTTAATAAGATAATTTTTTATCAGTTAATTTTTTTACTACCTATACTGTTTATCGTCTTTTTATGGCGGTAAATTTTAAGTTATTAAGGAACGCTTAAATTAATAAAAAAATCATGTGCTAAACATGAGCCAAACAAGTGCTCAAAACATTAACCAAAATAGATTGCTCTTTTGTACGCATGGTGGTACATGTATTTTTGCTAAACTATATATTTTGCGCAACCGTGAAAATGCCTTTTAACTGGTATTTATAAATCATACATGTATTTATTCACTATTCACAATATGCGAAAAAGTAATATTCCCTCCAAATTGTTTTTATAGATATAATAGAGAGCTAAGATTAATATATTTTTGTAATAGGATTATTACACTCCTATTTTAAGTCATTTTAAGCAATTGTGTTATTAATAATAAGTATAG